ATGTACCCTCGATGTACCTTTTTCGATGTACCCTTGGACCGTGGGCCCTTGCCACCTTCTATTTATCTACTTTTGTTCAATTTTTACCTCTTCCTGATTTTCCCTCTTGTGATACTTTTTTCATGGTACCTATCATTGCAAATTATCCCCTTATATCCCTTGTATTGCTCCTTATACTCCTATATTCCTTTTATTGTTCGTTTTATTTTTCATCTTGCCTCGTTCCTTAGCTTTCTTTCCATTCCTAGCCAGCTACCATTCTGACCTCTTCTATACTTTTTCTTGTGATACTTAAAAAAAATATTTCCATTCTTTTCTCTTGTCCCCCTAATCCCTTTTTTCATCCTTCGAATAAGCATGTTCTTCAGTTAAGTTCAACTTTGTTTATGTATACGCTTGCATGTCATTCTTAGCTTATCTCACCTCAGTATGGTTAGTGCAATTTCCCTCTGTGATATCTTTAACTGTGTGATTTTCGTTCCTTATAATTGTTCTTTTCCTATAACTAGTTCGTTTCAAAAAACTCCAATAAAATTCTCCGGTTTTTTTCCGGGCAAAAAAAATTGTTAAGCTTTTTTAAAAGAAAGTGTGACATTGTCCCACCAGTATATTGGTCAGTCTACCAAGTCATAACTTATGGAGTCATACCTTGTCTAATTAACAATGCCGTAAATGCTTTAGTAGAAGCATACCCTTTACGCTTACTTTGAGCTCCTACTCGGTTCATTCAAAAGATATCAAAAAGTTGTCAATTGATAAAATGTTTATCATAATATCAGAAGTGTATTGTCAGTTGACACATTTACAATATCTTTGACAGAAATCGAGAAAATTTTAGCTCAAACTTCCTAATAATCAAGTTTTTACAGCAATCCCAAATTCTTGCACCCACTGCCATACAGGAAGTCGGAATCAAAACAAAAGGTATAAAATAGAGAAAAGAGAGAAAGAGATTTTTGGATTAGCCACCCTCGATTTTCGTTACAGATATGAACAAGTTGTTAACCAATCTTACGATTAGTTTCTGTTAATACATTTCATCAGTTCATCAATCTTCAACTTTTTTAATGATTGTAAGTCTTTGTTAGTCTTTCTTGAGATAGAATGATTATCTTGGTTCCCGTGAAAGGTATTAACATTTTGTCAATTAATAAAATGTTGGTATTACCGTATTTCCTCTAATTGAAGCCCATGGGCTTCTATTTTTCAACCTCCTTTTTGTGAAACTACCAAAAACTGAAATTACAAGAAATTTTGTGAAATAGAAAGAAAATATCTACAATAACCGAATAGACGAACTGAACTGTTCAAACTGCACTAACTGAACTGCCCGTACTTATGTTAGAGGATGCGCTTCTGTGTTGTTAAGCACGTCAGAGCGTCGGCTTCTACTAGAGGTGGGCTTCAAATAGAGGTGGGCTTTTATTAGAGGAAATACGGTAATATAAGGAAAATTTTATTAGTTGTCAAAGTTTTCATAGCTTGCATAGGAACCGAGATAATTGAGCTCAAAATGCACGTATAGGGTGGGCTTCTATTAGAGTTTTTCAGAGAACTAGTCCTCTGAAAATCCAGCGCCTTTTGAAAATATACATTTTGTTTCTGCAAAAAATGAGTGCACACGTGTGGTGTATCTCTTTAGACGTATTCGTCTCTCCGGACCATCTGTCCAGCTTGGCCCCTTCCGCGCCAAGCCCCTCCGCCACACCCAGAGCAAAAATGATGGCGCCTCGAAACAGAGAAGGGCAAGCAGATGAAAAAAAGACGACACACGAAAAAAACGGACGAGCGCTCCATCTCTACTTCTCTATCTCTTCCTACTTCTCCTTCATTTTTTCGAAACGGGTATTTGTGTCTCGATTGTCGCCAGGAAATGGACGAACCGGGGTTTCATGGGTTTTCTTTTTTGTTCGCTTTTTAGTTTTCTATATTAGTTGGAAAGTTTCGCAAGTGAAAGTTACAAGTATCATAGTCTATATGATAATAGAAGACTCCGCTGGAAATGCCGTTACCGTCAAGAGCAATATTGAAAGTCACTTTGTTGAAACAACTCAAAATACCGTGAAAACTGTAATGGAAGGGCCCCCACACTGCCAAGTTTCAGCTAATTTATATCGGCTTCTGTCCAAGATATCAAAAACTGGCAAACTGATAAAATTTTTCTGGTATTATGATGAACAATTTATCAGTTGACAACCGATTTATACCTTTGACAAGAGCCGAGATAAATTGGCTTAAAGTTTCCATATGTGTTGAGGCGGAGCCAATTTTCTCTTTCTCGTGTTTGTTTCTTTGGTCAACCCTTATCACGCTCCCTTTGACCCCTCTTTTCACTATTACCGCCATACCCTCTTCCTATCCCTCGAACATGTCTCTCACTTGGCACCGCGCCAGAATATTCATGAATCGTTTTTTTTCGAACACAGCAGTGTTTCTCCTCTTCTCTCCCCTTGTCTCTCTAAAGTTCGCAAATTTTCGTCTCGCTCTCTAACCACTCTCTCGAATTTTCGTAGTGCTTCTTTTCCAGTTCATCCGTAAACACTGCTTCTTAATAAAAACTTAATAAAACATTTATTGATAAAGGGCCGAAGCCACTGATATTATCAATGCACAGTAAAATGTAATCATCATGCATAGTAAAAAGTAAGGTTTAGAATTAAAAAGGGGGTCAGATTTACATAAAAAAAGGTTAGTTCTAAAAGACTGAGAAGAAATAATGTCGGGGAAGGCTGATTGGGGGAGGGAGTTCCAGCAAGATATAATTCTTGAGGTAAAAAATTGGGAAGAAAATTTACTGGGGGAAGTTTTTAATTTGTAACGGATATTGAAAGGGTGCCTACGGAGATTAGTAATCGTGGAGGGACAAATAAATAAATCACGATTCCAAGTTACTTCGCGGGATACTAATAGTTTATGCAGGAAAACTAAATCGGCAATGAGCCTGCGACATTCTAGAGATTCTAAATTGCAATCATTTAAACAATCAAAGTAAGAGATGTAGGGCTCAACGCGAACGTATGGAGAAGGTTTTTCTCTCTCTCTCTCTCTCTCTCTCTCTCTCTTTCTCTCTCTCTCTTTTTCCAGAAAAATGCCATACAACTATGACGATTTGGAGATGCCGGAGGATTTAGAAGATATTGAAATCCTCCCCATGGGGGACCATGGAGGGCACGAACAGTTCCAGCAGCATCCAGATCACCAAATCGAAGAATCAGGTCCGTTGGTTTTGGAGCCCGGCCAATCACACGCTCCTTCGTCCCAACATCAAGCTTATCCTATTGAGGAATCGGGTCCAATGATCCCAGAAGGATTTCGTCAGATCCAGCCAATGCCTCAAAACCATGTTCCATCCGTCCAACCATCTGGACCACTTGTTCCTCATCCGGCCATGGATCAACCCCAGTTTCCGATCCAGCACTATCATCAGCTACATCATCATCACCATCAGAACCCTCCAATGCTGCCAAGGGAAATGCCAGGACCATCACAGAATGCTCAGAATTTCCCGCCCTATCCGTTCCATTCATTCCAACCATTCCACCATCATCATGATTTTGCTTATGGTCATCATCAGCTTCGGCACCAAATATTCATGGAGGTCAAAGTTGATTTCGACCGTAAGGCCAAGGAATTCGACCGTAAGACCAAGGAGTTCGACCGTAAGGCCAAGGAATTTGACCGTAAGACCCAGGAATTCGACCGAAGGGACAAGGAAAAAGATCAGAAATTTAAAAAGAAACTGGATGGTAAGAAATATAGTAGAATGGCTGTCGCATAGATTTTGTTATTGCAGAGAAGGACAATCAGATTCGCGAGAGGGATAGTAGAATTGACCAACTGGAGAGACAACTGGCTCAACGAGGCACCAGTGCTCACACCTCATTCCCCAGTCCTGAAACGCCTCGGGATCTGCATGATATGCCAGACACGTCGTCTGCTCAACCGCTCCATTACGACTCCGAGGATGAAATTCCAGAGCAAGGTTTCCTGTATCAAAGAGAAGCCGAGTGGTTCCTTCAACGGACTTTTGGAGGAAGACCGTGGAGACTGAAGATTCAAGGTATGCTCTTGTTTTCTTATTTCTTCCAATTAAACCATTTTCCAGATGACACTGCCTACCTCTTCAATCCCATCTTCTTCCGCCACATCAAGCAGGAAAAGAGAAAGGTTAGCGGCGCCGCCTATATTTATAGGAGTTCCATGAGAGGAGCTTATCCTCACGTTTTATGGAAGGATCTTCAAGAAGATGAGAAGAATGTATGGAATGAGGTGCACAGATATTTGAGCGTCAGGCAACAGAGGGAGATCGAGAAAGGACTCATCAAGATCAAAGAGATGCCCACAAGGATAAAAGCCGAGCCAAGAGACGAAGGATATGAGCGAGCAGCGAATGGAACGGGGCAACATTGGCAGGCCCAACAAGTTCCAATTCCACAACATCAAGGATATACACCAGGACCACCATATCCGGGGTATCCTCATCCAGGAATGCCGATGCCGACAATGCCACCACCACACCCTATGTGGCACCAACCACAACCGGAGAACCAATTAAATACGGGACCACAAAATGGTTGGATTGGAGGACCGATGATGCATTTCCAAATGCCACAAGAAGCAATGCATGGTCAGATGCCAATGGAAATGCAGCACAGGATGCCGGCAGAGCCAATGCAGGCCGCACCAGTTCCAAGGAAACATGTGCAGATCAAGGAAGAGATCATTGATGAAGATGATTGAGGTATTAGGTTGGCGGGAAAGTCTTTGTCACTTTTTCAATAGTTTATTCTCAAAGAAAAAATAACCGAATAATTAATTATATTGTCCATCATTATCAACAACATGTCTCCAACGTTCCCTCAATTTATGGATTCCATTGCGGTAGAATCCAGCCGGGCGTGAGGCAAAGTATTGTTTGAGTGCCGCTTCGACCGCTCCACGGGAATTGAAGCTTCTTCCTTCGAAGGCACGTGTCATATCGCCAAATAACCAATAGTCGGAAGGAGCAAGATCAGGAGAATACGGGGGGTGAGGGAGAACATTCCATCCATATCCCATCAGCTCCTGCTTCACTTGTTTCGAAACATGTGGGCGAGCGTTATCATGTTGATAGTACACTTTCTTGTCTTTCAGGGCCGAACGGTCGACTGCTTTCTTGAGGTTTCGTAGTTGAGTAGTGTAGAGGTCTCCAGTTATTGTTTTGCCCTCGGGCAGAAGTTCCCAGTAGATGGGGCCGTCCACTCCCCACCACACAGAGAGCATAACTTTTTTCGGATGAAGGTCGGGTTTGGGGACATCCTGTGGGCTCTCTCCTTCTCCAACCCACTGGGATTTCCTGTGGTGATTATCGTAGAAGACCCACTTCTCATCTCCGGTTATTAGCCGGTCCAGCCATCGATCGCCCGCGTGGAGAGTGAGAAGAGTAATCGAATCGTCGACTCGGCGGTCAAGGTTGGCTTGAGTCAGGTGATGAGGTATGAATCGACCAAAAAGTTTTCTCATTCCAAGAGACTTCAAACCTTCAAGGACTGTGCTATGGTGAACTCCGAATGTGACAGCTAGTTCACGGCTAGATTGAAATGGATCCGATTGCAATGCGTGCTTCAGCTTGTCCAAATCCAACTCACGGGGTCTCCCAGAGCGATCCTTTTCATCGAGCGAGAAGTCATCTTTTTCGAAACGATGGAACCAATTGCGAATAGTATTGTAGTGAGGGGCATGTGTGTTGTACACATTCTTCAAGAAAGTTTCCGAATCCTTCATCGTGGTGTGAGATAGGAAGAGGTAAATCAAAACATGTCTGATGTGAATAGCAGTGGGAACAAACATATCGTTTCAATTACAGATGAGGAGCAGGGAAGGAGATGGGGACTTGTTTATATGGAAGGTTCTTATCACCTTGTTATTCACTAGAGTCGATATCATACACAGCCTCCATATACGAGAACAGTGATTAAACAAACAGAGTGACAAAGACTTTCCCGCCAACCTAATAATTTCGAATTTTTTGAATTTCCCGAAGCCTCTTTTTTCAACCATTTAGGAATTTTCCAGGCAATTTTCTAAGCATCTTTGATGGAACATCACTCTATACTTAGACTTTATCTTTTGCAGATTTTTTAGAATCCCCTCCTCCCCCTCAGTTCAGTCTGCACATAGTCTTTGAGCTCAATTATCTCGGTTCCTTCAAAATATATCAAAAAACTGTCAACTGATAAAATGTTTGTGAGAATATGATAAAAATTTAATTAGTTGACACATTTTTGAAATCTAGCATAGAAACCAGGATAATTGAGCTCAAAGTTAAGCCGTATCCTCACTCTTAAATTTGAACTTTGAGCTCTCTTATAAGAGATATCAAAAAGTAGTTAACTAAAAAAATGTTTGTAAAAATATGATAAACATTTTATTAGTTTATCACTTTTTGATATCTCTCATAGGAGCCGAGATAATTGAGCTCAAAGTCCAGGTGGCATTGTATGAGAGCAAATTCAGCAACCACTTTTTCCAGGCTTCTCAACGCGGTTCGCCTTCAACTAGTCTTCAAACATCACGCAACGAGTAATTTTATTCTATTTCCCTTTTTTCTTCTCTTATCTAAATTTCTATTCCTATTGTTCTTGTATTCGTTCTTTACTCTTTTCTTTACCGTCCCACCCGACTTGACCAGTGTCTTCTTCTCTAGTCTTTTTTTTTCTCTCAATACCATTATTCTCTTTTTTGCTGATAAGAACCCCTTATTCCCTGATTATGATCTTCTTTTCATTCAGTAGTTCCTTTTGTTTTTGTTCTTTTTGTGTGCTTTTTGGCTTCTACAAAACTGGATCCTTGTAACTTTATATGTCAATTTCTCTTGTTTTGGTTTCTTCCTAGTTCAGTTGTCATGGGTTTTTATGCATGTTTTGGTCTAGATTCAGTTTTTAAACTTTTATATGTACCTTTAAAGTTTTATAGTATCATTTTTCTCCCAATATACTTTCTTTCTAATGTGTCAATCCCATAGCTCCCATAGCTAAACCCATAGCTTCTTCTTCTCCCCCAGTTAGTTTTTATGTCCTTCCCCAGTAGGTTCCCTTGCTTTCCACCCGATCAATAATCCAATTTTTCCGAAAGTTGAACTCTAGCTTCTTCTTGCTGTTTTAGGCTATCCTGTCATCGCTTCTTCTTTCATCATGTTGCCATGTTGTGCAATTCCCTCGCATTTTTTTTGTTAAGCATGTTCTACTGGTTCTGAACCGAAAATTTCATTTTTCTTGTCTTGCTATCTTGTCATTGTTTCCGAAAAATCCCCAGAAATAAACCCCCCCCCCCCCCCCAAGGAAAAAGTTTTCCTTCTTATTTTGGTTGAACATACAAAAAAAATTTAGATTATTTGATAGTTTATTATTTTTTTAAAAGTTCAAATTTTGAACATCAAATGCATACATAAACCGTGGAAACATTGGGATAGTTAGGTTGTATTCAGAAAGAGAAATGGGATGGATGGCAAACCAAAAATTGCAATTGTAGCAGAGGAAAAATTGCACAAAAAAACGAAGCTATTTGGAATGAATCGGATGGGGAAGACAAGAATATTTGGAAATCCGGGATGAAATGGAAGAGAGGCAAGGATCCTTAGGTTCTGGGCAATCGAAAGAGGATTCTAAAGGGTCTGGGGAGAAATGAGGAAGGCGGCAATGATGGACAATCAAAAACAGTTCTATAATGTCGGGAATAGAGCGGAAAACTGGAAAGATACAGTTAAGCCCAGAAGTTCTTATTTTTAACAGCCATCTTGTTCATGGACGCGGTGATGTCCGCAACGAGGACAGAATCCAATTGACTCTCCTCGGCATCCAGAAGGTCCCTGTGCTCATCGAGAACCTTCTTGATGGATTTCGAAAGTTCTCCAAGTTTCCTGAAAAAAAGCAAATAAGTTATTTTTTACAGACTTAGCTCAAATAAACTAGAATCTAGGTTATCATAAAACCTGTAAAGTTAGAGCTAATTTATCTTGGATCCTGTGCAAGATATCAAAATTTTGTCAACTAATAAAATGTTTGCGACATTATGATAAACAATTTTAATTACGGTAACAAATCCGCAATCAGAGGAGTTCTAGATTTCCAGAAACTGAAAAAAAAACTCACTTATGTTGGAGGTAGTTATTCCTACCACGCTTGGCCAAGTTTTCCGCCGCGTACAGAACATGAGGGACGGCGGGGGGCTGGTAGGAGACCTGGTGACCGAAAGCCAGGACATAAGCCAAGTTGGAAATTTCGTTCTTGCTCCATTCTGGGGCATTCGCAATCACAGAATATTTTACCGGCCGGACGGTCCCCTGAAAATTGGAAATTTGATAATTATCGGTAAATGGTGTGACACAGTATTTGCCTACCCTACTTGTGCACTCTGTAGCTGGAATAGACATGCTGACAACAGAAGAATAAACAAAAACTCACAATGAGAGCCGACTGGGATACGAGAATAAATTCTTCCCGTCCAGAATTAGTGATCCGGGAGTCTATCATGGTTCCCGACTTTACGTTTTGCTCGTAGGCTTTGTGTCCCATGATCTCCTTGGGGAAGATGCGGGTGTGAGAAGTCTTCTGAACCACCACGACGACCAGCTTCGGTGGTTTGGAACCTCCGATCCTTCTACAAACTCCCTGCATCTCTTCCACTTCTTCTTGGACTCTCTTAAAATCTCCTTCGCCAGCGCCAGTCCTGAAGATGACGACGGTTTCTGGAAGAGAGCCAGTGGCCTTCTTGTATTGGTCAAGGCACGTCTTGAAGTGAGAATCCAGATTTCTAGAATGACACAAATTATTATCAAGGAATAAGTATTGATTAAACTCACTTGAGCTTGTACTCATTTCTCTCTTGAAGGAAATTATATCCTCCGAGTTCTGTTGGAGAGCTCAAGGAGTATCCGCAACCGACGATCGTTGGTTCTCCATCAAATTGTCCTTGAGCTTTGTCGTACAAGGTTCTTGAGGATCCATGGGTCATCTCGAAGCCTACGAATTGAACTTTCTCAAAGAGCTTCTTCTTCATTCCTCCGATATTGTTGCAGATGACCTTGTGTTCATACATATTGACCGGATCGACGTTGAAGTTGATTCCTCCCAACTTCAAATTCAACTTCCGCATGACGTTGTCAACGGTCTGGGCCCCTCCTTGCTCCCTCATAAAACACTCAGCTGTGCGATCGTGAATTTGAAGAGTTTGAAGCCCGATTCCCGCTTCAAAATACTTCATGACGTCATGAACATCGGGTTTCTTCTCCGAAGTGATGCCGATGACGATGGAGACCTGTTCCCTCAGAAGTTGCAGCATCTCTCCCTTGAGTCGTGCCGTGTCGCTGGAGTTCATTTGAAGTTTGATCCATTCTTGGGGTCTGTTCCTCATATCCAATCCATTTCGTTGGCAAGTCGAGTGGAGACGATTGCAGAAGTGGCTGAAATGTTTTTTACATGAATAGAAGAGATTCTTCTAGAACTCACTCCAAATCAATTCTCACTCCATCAAAACCAATAACCGCCACATTGTTGACTCTGGCTGGTCTCCAGAAGCGTGCTCCATTTCTTGGGCGGAATTGGACACTTCCTGGTGGAGGGAAAACCACCGATGCACCTCCGAATGTCATCTGAGCTGGCGCCAAAATCATGGCTGGCATTTGAATGGGTTCCATGGTGACATTGACTCCGAAAGCTGCCAAATGACGGTTTCCTTCAATTTTCAGGTGGTACTTGAGGATTTCCATGATTCGTCGGGTATGCTCGCGGGGCAAAGTGGCATTCTGGCCAGTCATTGAGGATTGCTGAAAATTTGAAAAAAGTCTATGCCTAAAAAATTTGAAACTTACAACTGTGGCGCTCATTTTCTGAATCTTGATCCTCTGGCCAGGAACTATGGTCAATAGTTCGATGGGGGTAAATGAAAGGTTCCGAAGACGCCCTGAGACGACGAGAGGCAAAAGTGGGAATTTGATTTTGTAGTGATGGTGGTTCAAGAAGTAGTCGGCGACGGAGACTTGCTCTGTTTTGCCTTCGCCAGCATTTAGCTCAAACTTCGTTCTGAAATTTGAGATTGAGCTGGTTGTCTGAAAAAAACCCTTTCAAATTTGAGCTCAATTATCTCATTTCCTGTGCAAGATATCAAAATTGCGTCAATTGTCAAAATACTTTTAATATTATGGTAAACAATTTATCAATTGACAACTTTTTCATATCTTTGACAGGAATCGAGAAAAATTGGCTCCAATCTATTACAGGTTTTACGGAACTCACGTATTCGCATTTCCGGGTGTTAGCTTCATAACTGTGATGTTCCTGTTCTTGTCCTTTGGCAGATGGCTAGGTTCCAAGAAGAATCCTTTCAACGAATCCTGAATCTTTTCAAAAATTTTTTCCTCATTTCCTCGCTGGAATGCATCTTGCATCTCTTGAACTTCGGCATCGTTGTAGTCCACACTTGAACGCTCGATTGGTGAGCGACTTCTGCTTCTTCGTCTCTGATCTCTTGGATCCTGACGATGGCCACCATGACCTCCACGACGATCGCCCCCATATCCTCCACGGCCTCGTTGGGCTCCTGATGCTCCTGGTGCTCCAACTCCACGTCCCTTAGCCTCGGAAAACTTACTGCACATAAACTTCATTACACTGGTTGCCGCGACAAATGGACTTTGCTTGGTGTCAATGGACATTACAATTTCAGGAACACCATCAGTTCCTTCTGCAAGACGGACTGCTTTGTCGAATCCAAATCTGATTTCTGAAGTTGCATCGGGCTTCATCATCGGTTGCTCTCTCATTGGAAACGTTTGGCTACCGTATTGAAGATATGTGTTGGTATTGAGCGATTCTGAAGTGACAGTCTCGACGACTCTGACAAGTTCTTGCCGATTTTTTTCAGCCATCGCATTCGGTCCATCTGCATAAACGACTCCATTCGCGGATAGGATGATTTTGAAGAATGTCTTTTGTCTTCTTAGAATCCTTGAGATTGTCTTCCACTCTTCTTCGGTGAAGTCTGATTGTTGAAGGGTCTCCTCCAATTTCTTCTCTCCTCCTTTGTAAGCTCCATCAACACAATAAATTGTAGTTGCACAGTCGAATGTGTAGTGAAGGAAATTGGTTCCGAAGATTTCCGGGTGTCTTTCAAAGACTTTTCGGAAAATTTGTTTAAGGGCGAGCCGTTTTTCGGATATGTTTAGTCTGAAAGTATATTAGGATTAGGTCGTATCCTCTCATTTTTTTCTTCATAAAGACGACAAAGTTAGGGTCTCGAAAGTATATGGATAACAATTTATTATTAACAGAAAGGGCTTGTCAAAAAGCTTTCGAATGGCTTTGAATAAAAAATTTATAGAATTCTTGGGATAACGATTCTTAAACATCAAAAATAGTGGCTCAGGGGTCAATTATCATGAAAAATACAACTTAAAATTATATGATGCATGAGCCCGAGAGTCCTAAAACTGCGATCTAACTAAACCAACTAAACTAATTAACTACCATAAATGCTCAAATTGAAGCCCACCATGTAGGTGCACTTTGAGCTCAATTATATCGGTTTCCATAAGAGCAATCTAAAGATATCTCTGGAGAGAGAGAGGGGTGGGGCAGTCTATCAGAGTGTTCACAGAATGCACTTGAATTTAGAGCTCAATTATCTCGGTTCCTACAAGAGCTATCAAAAATGTGTAAACTAAAAAAACACTTCTGATATTATGATAAACATTTTGAAAGTTGATCCCTTTTTGATAGCTTTTACAAGAAATCACATATGTAAGCTCAAAGTAAACTTATAGGTTCGGTTTCGATTTGAGCATTTACCGTAGTTTCTAAACTACAAATCTCTAATCTCTACGATCTAGCTAAGCGGACTATACTAATTAACTATTCTAAAGGTCGTCTGATTGATTCCTGAAAATTCCCAACTAACCCTCCAGAGACCGCTTGAATCCCGTCGGATAGCTTCACTTCCGTCTTCCCTCCGCACAAGATGGTCTCCATACTCAGCCGGACGAATTTCCTGGACGTCTTGGAGATGCTGACACTAAAAATATTGGTCTGCACAGGGACCGTGCTCAATGGCTGGAAAGATTTCCCATTGGAGGATGACGATCCAGGCGTTGTGAAGCGGACGGGTGCTGGAAATGTTTGGGTTTTGATTATAAAATGGAAAGTTGAAGTTTCTTACGATAAGTTCCTCCTGGTGGTGGTTTTGATCCTCCTGGTGGTCCTCCTGGTGGTCTGGATCCGCTGGACCCTCCTGATCCGCCTGCAGCCGAGTCTTCCTGTCTTGGTTTCTTTGGGATCCGGAACGATGACATGGTTATATACTGGAAAAGTAGAAAGTGTATAGAATCACTTGTAAAAGAGGGTTTATATGTGTTGCGGAAGAGACCAAAGATGTAAATCATGAGAACACTTGTGGTTTAGAACACGTTGCACAAGAACGGTGACATGGAGAGAGAGAGAGAGAGAGAGAGAGAGAGAGAGAGGGAGAGAGAGAGAGAGAGAGAGAGAGAGAAAGAGAGAGAGAGAGAGAGAGAGCACATATTTTTCGGAAGAAAACTGCAAAGAGAACTCTGAGAACAGTTTTTTGTTAGCAAACAAATAAAAGATTGAGAGTAAAGAATAGGAACATTTACTTGAAAAAACTCACTGTCATAGATACCGTAAAACCTGCAATAGAAGGGCACTCACACCCTCAAGTTTAAGCTTAATTATCTTGGTTTCCATGGGAGATATCAAATAAGTCTTACCTAAAAAATGTTTGTGATACTATGATAAACATTTTATCAGTTGACATTTTTCTCATGTATTTTCCAGGAACCGAGATAAACTGGCTCGAGCAAAGTTACAAGGGCCAAAGAACATCCAGGTCTCAACCTAGCAGGAATCAGAGGCTTCATAGTTTGTAACTTTGTTCATAGACAAGATAAAATTTTCTAAATAGTATCATTTTGTAGTTCTTGAAATTTCCTATCATATCCATTTTAGTTGGTTAAAAAATATTGAACCTAAAAGAAACTAGGGCCAAGGTTCTAGATGCTTGTTTTTCCTAGTGCTGAACTTAAGGGTTTTGTGGTCTTTTGTGTCGGCAAACTGACCGAAGGGATAGGAAAGAGGGTAAAAGAAAAAGGTCCCCTCTTTCCTTCTCCAGAGACACACAGATCAATAAAAAATCTACTTTACACAAAAAAGATAGAACACCATAGCATTGGGTTTCTATATTCAAATAAATCAAAAAAATTCTCCAATAACGTTCGTCGGAATCTATGCCATCTGCCATCTGCCATCTGGCGACGTTGTACTACGCGCATTCGTCACGTGATATCCCACTGACTGTCCCAGTGAGAAACATTTCCCTCTTTTTCTTTTCCCCCTCCGAATCTCTCGTTTTTTTTTCTTCCCGAAGGGATAGATGGGACACTCGGGGTGCACATATTTTGTGGACCCTTTGAGAACCCAAACACACATAAACTTTTTGTTGTGATCGGGAAACTTTGCTTTTTGAGAGTTAGTGTTCGAGGAACTAGGAAAATGAGTTTCTGAATTTCTGATTTTCTGAATTTTTGAATTTCTGAATTTCTGAATTTTTGAATTTCTGAATTTCTGAATATCTAAATTTCTGAATTTCTGAATTTCTGAATTTCTGAATTTCTGAATTTCTGAATTTCTGAATTTCTGAATTTCTGAATTTCTGAATTTCTGAATTTCTGAATTTCTGAATTTCTGAATTTCTGAATTTCTGAATTTCTGAATTTCTGAATTTCTGAATTTCTGAATTTCTAAATTTCTAAATTTCTGAATTTCTGAATTTCTGAATTTCTGAATTTCTGAATTTCTAAATTTCTAAATTTCTGAATTTCTAAATTTCTGAATTTCTAAATCCCTGAATACCTGAATTTCTGAATTTCTGAATTTCTAAATTTCTAAATTTCTGAATTTCTGAATTTCTGAATTTCTGAATTTCTGAATTTCTGAATACCGGAATTTCTGAATTTCTGAATTTCTGAATTTCTAAATTTCTAAATTTCTGAATACCTGAATTTCTGAATTTCTGAATTTCTGAATTTCTGAATTTCTGAATTTCTGAATTTCTGAATTTCTGAATTTCTGAATTTCTGAATTTCTGAATTTCTAAATTTCTGAATTTCTGAATTTCTAAATTTCTGAATTTCTAAATTTCTGAATTTCTAAATTTCTGAATTTCTGAATACCTGAATTTCTTAATTTCTGAATTTCTGAATTTCTAAATCCCTGAATACCTGAATTTCTGAATTTCTAAATTTCTAAATTTCTGAATACCTGAATTTCTGAATTTCTGAATTTCTGAATTTCTGAATTTCTGAATTTCTAAATTTCTGAATTTCTGAATACCTGAATTTCTTAATTTCTGAATTTCTGAATTTCTGAATTTCTAAATCCCTGAATACCTGAATTTCTGAATTTCTGAATTTCTGAATTTCTGAATTTCTAAATTTCTAAATTTCTGAATTTCTGAATTTCTGAATTTCTGAATTTCTGAATTTCTGAATTTCTGAATTTCTGAATTTCTGAATTTCTGAATTTCTGAATTTCTGAATTTCTGAATTTCTGAATTTCTGAATTTCTGAATTTCTGAATTTCTGAATTTCTTAATTTCTGAATTTCTGAATTTCTGAATTTCTGAATTTCTAAATCCCTGAATACCTGAATTTCTGAATTTCTGAATTTCTGAATTTCTGAATTTCTGAATTTCTGAATTTCTGAATTTCTGAATTTCTGAATTTTTGAATTTCTGAATTTCTAAATCCCTGAATACCTGAATTTCTGAATTTCTGAACTTCTGAATTTCTGAATTTCTGAATTTCTGAATTTCTAAATTTCTGAATTTCTGAATTTCTGAATTTCTGAATTTCTGAATTTCTAAATTTCTAAATTTCTGAATTTCTGAATTTCTAAATTTCTGAATTTCTGAATTTCTGAATTTCTGAATTTCTGAATTTCTGAATACCTGAATTTCTTAATTTCTGAATTTCTGAATTTCTGAATTTCTGAATTTCTAAATCCCTGAATACCTGAATTTCTGAATTTCTGAATTTCTGAATTTCTTAATTTCTGAATTTCTGAATTTCTGAATTTCTGAATTTCTAAATCCCTGAATACCTGAATTTCTGAATTTCTGAATTTCTAAATCCCTGAATACCTGAATTTCTGAATTTCTGAATTTCTGAATTTCTGAATTTCTGAATTTCTGAATTTCTGAATTTCTGAATTTCTGAATTTCTGAATTTTTGAATTTCTGAATTTCTAAATCCCTGAATACCTGAATTTCTGAATTTCTGAACTTCTGAATTTCTGAATTTCTGAATTTCTGAATTTCTAAATTTCTGAATTTCTGAATACCTGAATTTCTTAATTTCTGAATTTCTGAATTTCTGAATTTCTGAATTTCTAAATCCCTGAATACC